ATTAATGTAGGCGAAGAAGATGGAGAAGAAGAAGAAGAAGAAGAAGAAGAAGAGAGGAAGAAGAAGAAGGAGAAGAAGAAGAAGAGAGAGAGAAGAAGAAGAAGAAGAAGAGGAAGAAGAAGAAGGAGAAGGAGAAGAAGAAGAAGGAGAAGGAGGAGAAGAAGAAGGAGGAGGGCAAGAAGGAGAAAAAGAAGGAGGAGAAGAAGGAGGAGAAGAAGAAGAAGAAGAGAGAGAGAGCTTGTTGTAAAGGTGCGGGCCCCTAATGTGGCTGGAACTCTATTGATCTTTCATGTTCTTATGTCTCATCTAGATGCATAAATTAATTGACAAATCTAATCTAGTAAATGGAATCACACGAATACTTTATATTATAAGTCACTTCATTGTTGACTATAATATTATTTATCTCGATGAACACTGATAACAGTTTACAATTCTGTCTAGTTCAAGAGAGAAAAACCATACGGAACGGTCGGGGTGATGCGCGGCGGGGAAGCATGTAGCCGGTTTTCGATGGCACTTGTCAACGCGTGTCGCGACGGTCTGGTGAAACCGATGCGGCTATGTACATGGCCGGTTTGGAGATCCCATTTTTCCATCAGCTGCAGGTGTCCGTTTTGGAAAGTATCAATTAAAACATATTTCTAGTTTTTTTCCGAACCTAATATTTATTGGGGACACGTATTAGGCTATTTACTATTCATTAAGCAAATAAAAAGATTTTTGAAATTTTTGCATGTAGCCGGTTTGTGAATCCCATCGACGATATATATAACCTTACAGTGTTGCAAGGGGAGTTAAAAAATCAAAGCAATTGTGTAATTTCCTTGTGTGATTTCCTTCTCACAGATGCATGAGCTGTGGTTTGTTCTAGTCATTTGGAACTTTTCCTTGTCTTGGTTTCCCTCGTCCTACCACTACCAGTTTGTGATTTTCCCCACTTATTATGCTGTTACCCTCTTAGTTGTCTTTTATTCAATCATGTGAACCTACTTTGATTATTTTTTTCATGTAATGTGCAATAGAACTCCTTATTTTGAAAAGCATTGTTTCTTTGTTGTTTTTGTGATTTCAAGAGAAAAAAAAATGTCAGTGGGTGGTTGGCGGCTGCCTTGGTGTGGTTTGCTCCTTCTTTTCTATCAAACATCTATGGTCTTTAACTCCCCTCCTTCTTTTTTTGTGTTTGTTACTCTCTTGTAACACCTCTAATCTTCGGCACTTACATTACCTATTGTGTTGCAAGTGCTGTAAAACTGTTACTAAAACTAAAATGTCACTGTTTTACTACAACGCCCATCGATACAACTTAGATCATTTAAGAAGGGGGTTGCCTTGACCCTACCTGTCAGGGCCAACCCGAGCTAAAAGGATTATACTACAGTCTCTCAGCAGATTGATTTAGATAAAAGTTCTCCCCATTTGGATTTTGAACTCGCTTCTTCTGTGTGGGACACAGCCTAACAGCTGCACCACAAGCTGGGGGGGTGGGGGTTGGCGGGTGCTCTGGCGTGGTTTGCTTCTTTTTTCCTTTCAAACATCTATTGTCCATATCTCTCTTGCTTCTTTTATGTATATGTTACTCTCTTGTAACACCTCTAATCTTCGGCACTTACATTACCTATTGTGTTGCAAGTGCTGTAAAACTGTTACTAAAACTAAAATGTCACTGTTTTGCTACACCGCCCATCGATACAACTTAAATCATTTAAGAAGGGGGTTGCCTTGACCCTACCTGTCAGGGCCAACCGGAGCTAAAGGGATTAGGGGGGGGGGGACTCTCGTGGCCTAGAGGTTAAGGTGTTTTCCTCTCATTCAAAAGGTCCCGGTTTCGAATCCGGGTAGCAACCGAAAAATTTTCTTCTCTAAATTTGTCTCCTTTCCCCTCATTTCCTGCTCTCTAGCAATGTTCTGTCGTCTGTTTTCGTCTCCTCTTTCTGCCCCCACCCCCTCGCCTCCTTTGCCCCTTCCTCTGTTCTCCTGATTTGGCTTCTTCTTACTGCTGTCTTTCAGCCACCACCCTGATCTTGTGGTAGGAAAGATCTACACCTAGCCTTCTCGGACAAGGGCGAAAAATCTCGGAGGGCCCGTGTGCAAGTTGCGCACGTTAAAGATCCCTTAGTGGTCTAAAATCGATAAGAATAGGCTTCGGCCGCCACCCGGGCAAAATTCAAAATTTCCTACCAGCTGGAAATATTAGGTATGTCCCGCGCGCTCATATGACCTTATGCAGTTGCGAGCGCCGTAAAACACTTTACAAAAACAAAGCAAAACAAAATAAAAGGATTATACTACAGTCTCTCAGCAGATTGATTTAGATAAAAGTTCTCCCCACTTGAGATTTGAACTCATTTCTTCTATGTGGGACACTGGATTGCCTAACAACAGCTGCACCACAAGTTGGGAGGGGGGAGGGATGGCGGGTGCTCTGGTGTGGTTTACTTCTTCTTTCCTATCAAACATCTATCGTCCTTATCTCTCCTGCTTCTTTTATGTGTATGTCACTCTTTTGTAACATCTTTATTCTTCGGCACTTACTAAAACGGGAGGTTCAAGAAAAGGGAAGCTAAAACAAATCGAAAATAACACCAAACTCATTATAGTGGAGGGGGTCCTGGTTTGAATCCATATAATTGTGATTGTGAGCTCTACTTTTTCTGTTGTCTTTCAGGCTATAGATCTACACCCAACTTCATGTAAAAAAAATGTTAGACTTTTTACACCCTAC